TTTCTATTATAATTTTTCTTTATTGATTTTTTAGAGAGAGAGAGAGAGAAACATTGATGAGAGAGAATACTGACTGGTCGCCTCCTGCATGCCCTCAACTGGGGATCGGGCCCACAACCTGGGCATGTACCCTGACCGGGAATTGAACCGGCGTCCTCTTGGTGCATGGGTCAACACTCAACCACTGAGCCACACCGGCCAGACACTATTATAATTTTTCATATGTTATCTCCTGTCTTAGGATTCATGTTCCCTGAAATAGGACCTGCCTTTCTCAATTCCCTGTCTTCCATTGGTTAATACTGAGACTTGTAGCACAGTAGGTGCTCCATAAGGACTTCATGGACACATACATTGGTCATTAGAGAGAGTCTCAATCACAGGTAGGCTGTGTCCCGAGTCTCAGGTGCATACGTTAATGCTACAGGTCCCTGTCTTCCTAGGGGTCAGAGTTGTTGCTCTTGATGACCAGTGTGGGTAACTCCTCTGTGAATAACAGAGGGAACATTACCTTGTGTGGTATTTGTTTTCAGGCATAGCTTTGGGACTAAGAATTATATGTGTGTAGGGGTTAAGGAGCCAGGATGGTAAGGGGACAGATCTAATTAGCATGGAGGAATTATACAAGACAGTAATGGTAAAGAGGATAAAGACTGTTAGAGAAGAAGACATTTGAACTCTTTTAGGCCAGGGCAGGCCACTGTAGACTCTTGAGCAGGAGAATGAACCAGTTTGTAGGAAGGTAGTGAGGCAGTGGTATGCAAGGCAGAGTTCAGTAGAGATCAGAGACAAGACGTCAAGCTGTACTCCCAACAGGGTTGCTGGGAGCCTGGGTTATTTAGGTTTACAGATGTGGAGAGAAGGGCACAACTGAGAGATGTTCACAAAGAACAGTATCGTGTCCTCCCACAACCACATTCAAGTTACAACTAAACTACAGAACAACCATCATTCAAAACCGCCTGAAATCAAGCTGAATGGAAGTCCTACAACTACGGAATTAAAGAAGCAGCCGCATGGAGACTGGTAGGAGGGGCGGAGAGACGGCGGTAAGACAGGCTGGTCCCACACCCACGTGTGGCAGATAAAAATCAGGACGCTACCTCGGCTGGGAAGGTCCTTCCTGAGGACTGAGGGGTCCCCGTTCCACACCAGGTGCCCCGCTCAGGGTTCCAGTGCCAGGAAGAGAATCCCCATAACTTCTGGCTGGAAAAACCAGCGGGAACTGAGGCTCAGGGAGGCTGAAGCTGCTGGAGCCCCAGGCAGCTCCTTAAAGGGCCCGAGCACGGACTCTCTCCCTCTAAGCTTGGAGGGGAGGCAGCTCGAGGGGCACCAGAGACATACAGGGAAGAACTGAGCTGTTTGGCATTGGGGCGAGGACTGGAGAGGGGGCTTTCTCCGGGACAAACGTGCTGTCAGAGGCCTTTGTTCCTTTGATGAGCCCTTCCCTGGGGCGGCAGACAGTGGCCATATCTGGGACTCCAGCAACCTGGCTCACACTGGTAGCCCCGCCCCGGTGACTCCCTGAGGCCCCACCCCACCCAACTTTCAGGCCCACCCAAGCTGTTGCCACTTGCTTAACCATAGGATTGGCCTGTCTTGCATCCTGCTTCAGGTTTTTCCTAAATTCTTTCAAACGAGCAGCATCTGGTCTCAGCCAGCCCCATACCGCTCGTTAAGTAATACACAGAAACAAACACAGGGAGGCAGCCAAAATGAGGAGGCAAAGAAACAGATCCCAAATGAAAGAACAGAACAAAACCCCAAGAAAAGAACTAAGCGAAATGGAGATAAGTAACCTAACAGATGTTGAGTTCAAAATACTGCTTATAAGGATGCTCAATGAACTCAGTGAGGGCCTCAAGAGCATAAAAAAGGACATGTCAGAAATGATCGATGCACAGTTAGAAATGAAGGAGGCTTTAACTGAAATAAAGTGTACTTTACAAAGATTCAATAGTAGAGTACGTAAATCCAAGAAGCAAACCATTGATTTGGAATATAAGGAAGCAAAAAACGCCCAATCAGAACAGAAAAAAGAAAAAGGAATCCAAAAAAATGAGGATAGTGTAAGGAGCCTCAAGCGTGCCAACATTCGCATCTTGGGGATGGAGAAGATGCAAATGTTGGATGGGGAAGAAGAAGAGAGAGAACAAGAAATTGAAAACCTGTTTGAAACAATAATGGCAGAAAACTTTCCTAACTTGGTGAAGGAAAGAGACATACAAGTCCAGGAAGCACAGAGAGTCCCAAACAAGATGAACCCCAAGAGGCTCACACCAAGACACATCATCATCAAAATGCAAAAGGTTCAAGACAGAGAGAATCTTAAAAGCAGCAAAAGAAAGGCAGCTAGTTACCTACAAGGGAGTTCCCATAAGGCTGTCAGCTGATTTCTCAAAAGAAACTTTGCAGGCCAGAAGGGAGTGGCAAGAAATATTCAGAGTGATGAAAAGCAAGAACCTACAACCAAGATTACTCTATCCTGCAAAGCTGTCATTTAGAATCGATGGCCATATAAAGACTTTCCCAGACAAGAAAAAGTTAAAGGAATTCATCACCACCAAACCGTTATTATATGAAATGATGAAAAAGATAAAATATATGAACAAACAAAATGGCAATGAATACATATCTATTGACAATTGAATCTACAAACAAAATGAACAGGCAGAACAGAAACATTCTCGTAGATACAGAGAACATTTTGTTGGTTGCCAGATGGGAGGGGGGTTGGGGGAATGGGTGAAAAAGGTGAAGGGATTAAGAAGTACAAATTCATTGCTAGACTGAAAAACCTCAAAGGGAAAGGGGTTGGGGAGGTGGAAAGAAATACACCGAAGAACTTATATGCATAACCAATGGACACAGACAACAGTGTGGGAAAAGGCGGGAGGGGGGCGGGAGTGAGGAGTAGGAGGTCAATGGGGGAAAAATGTGGAACATCTGTAATACATTCTACATTCAACAATAAAGATTTAAAACAAAACAAAAACAAAGAACCAATAGGCTTTGATGATGTATCAAATCTGGGAAACAAAAAGCAAGGGCTGAGGAATAGTGGTGTCACTGAAACAAATGAGTGAGCTGTGGGGGAAAGCCAGGTTACATGGGGAGTAACTTCAGAAGGTTCTAGGATGTGAGTGTGCTGAGATCTGGGAAGTTGTAGGGGCTAGAAACAGAGATGCAGGAGCCATCTGCAGAGAGGTCACTGAAGCTGGGGGAAGAGGGTGGTGTGCAGGGTAACAGCAGGGTCTGAGGACCAACTCTGGAGTGTGTGGGTGCAATGCGTATGTCAGGGGCAGGAGGAGGACATCCAAGGAGGAAAGAGTTGTCTGTGGTCTTCCACACTGTAAAGGTGAAAAGACCTTTGAATTTGGCCAAGAGACAGAAACTGATTTTATGCTGCCTTCAGTGCCTTGGGGATGGAGGAGAAACTCAGTGATGAGGAAAGGAAATCGCTTGGAAATGAAGGAAATGAGATAACAGGCTAATACTTAGTGGAATGAATGAATGCAGGTTTTTCAGGTTAGAAGAGCTCTGACCCTGTGGAGTGGCAGGAAAAAGGACGCGGGGACAGACAGACACAAGGTACTAGAGAGATGCCTACAGGACATAATCTGTGGAAACTTCTGTGCGTGCAACTCTGTGCGGCATCTGATTCACAGGAGCCATGGGTGTGGGAAGTGTTGTTTGTCCCTAATAAATAGGCCAGGAAATTTTGACTCATGAAATCACCTTCTTTCCCAGAGGAAAGGAGGCAGTTTCTTCCAGGCAGGTTGCAGCTGTGGGCTGTTTGCTTCTAGATACACTCACTTTGTTAGTTGGTGTGCAAATGAATTGGGCTACTTCTCTGATCACTAGATCGAATATCTGTAGACTTAGAAATTGCCCAGTTAGGCAATTTCTTTCTTCTGCCTGTAAAGAAGACATTGTCTAAAGTAGTATCAATTCTGAGTCAACATGTGGATGTCTGATGCGTAATTTTTATTATAAATATAGAGCAGATTTTACAAATTATTCAGAAGTGGCCTTAGCCAGGCAAAATTAAATAACACAGAATAGCACAGATGAAGGGAAATATATACAGTCTCTGTCAGGGTTAGAAAACCCTGAAAGAGATACCTGAGTACAGAGAACGCCCAACTTTGGACACAGCAGGAGATCAAGTAATCACTATGGAATAAATTCTCTCAACAGCCCGAAAATCATGTGTGTGGAAGGCTGGGTGGGCTGTAGTCTGTCTCTCCTTCCTCTACGCTTCCTCTTTATTCTGACACAGTGGGACTCACAGACCCCATGGGAAAAAACAAGTTTCAGAGGCTGTTCAAGAAACCTGGGGCCTAGTTATGATCCTCCCCCATGTCCAGAGTCAGCACCAGTGCAGTTTTCTGGGTTGTAAACAATGGTAACAGCGTGAGTGACAGTGTTCCCTTCAGGGCACACACTTTTCAGGGACCAAACACATCTTAGCAGAGGCCCCTTCGTCCTGAGACAGTGAGTGGGGCAGATGGACAGAACATACACAAGCAGGAACATGGACCTGAAAGGTGGTGATCAGCTTGAGATGCCTGGAACTGACTTAGATTCACTGGGAGCTGTGAACGAGGGAAACTGATTCTTCTTTTTGTGCAGAGCCCCTGACATGAAAGCCTTCAGGAGCTCTTGGCCAAGGGGACTTGAGGTTTTGGTGGCTTTTTTCACCTAAGCCCTCCAATTGGCTTACACAGCAAAGCCAAATAAAAATAACCCCTTCCACATAAATAAGGAGTTACAAAAATTAAAGTGAAATGTCTGAGAGAGAAAAAACCCAATACCCCAAATTGTGCATTTTAAAATATTTAAATAATCTCTGATTCCCTTCTGAAATTCCCAGCAGGTTGTCTCTATTAGGAGCTGACTGCCCCCTAAAACTGTAACCCCTTCCCTCTGTAGTCATTTCTTTCATTAAAAGCCCATAAAGTTGTTAAAACATACATGCATTTTTTTTTTTTTTTTACATTTTCCAGTGGGCTTCACCTATAGTTTTCGTAGTTGCTTCTAGTGGGTTCTCTGAAGACAGGCCTGCCAAAGGGCTCTGGTGGTATGCTAGCCAAGCAACAAGGTATTTAGGCTCTAGTCCTACAGGTAGACACCCTGACAGTGCACAAAGGTATAGAATTGCACTGTTGAGACCTGGTTATATATTTGTTTTCCTGTGGTGCGGGTCCATACGGGGCTTTGGAGAGAGAGGAGAAGCTTTACGGTTTCTCTCTCTTCTCTGTCATGTGCAGTTCAGTGGATAAGGACATACTCTCAAGGTTATGGCAAATTCAAATTAGACTCCAACAGGACAGGGCTGAGGTGGGAAGGAATAAGTGTGCGCTGAATAGATACGTTTAGAACAATCTAGGTCAGGAAGTGGGGAGGGCTAGAGGTTCTGGCAACTCTCCCCAGAGCCTGCTTTGCCAGATTTCAATGACAAGGAAGGTTGGGCTTCCTACAGACTCCCGGATGTACCTTTTCATCTGTTGACACTGAAGAGAGGGCTGTGACTAGGAACCTGGAGGTGGCACTGAGAGAGTGAAGGGGAGTGGGGGAGGAAAAGGCTTCTTCTCCTTTTCCCGGAGGACAAAGGGGGCTCCTGGTGACGGAGATGAGAAGCTTGGGATCAGTCTGCAGTGCGGTGAGCAGGGAGGGCGGCATTACTTCCTTCTGACTTGTGAATAAACCGTTTCTGTCGGGGACGGGGAGGCTGAAGTTGGTTTCTGTGATTCCTGGACATTGAAGTTCAGGGAAGAATATGTAACTTCATTGATCTGAAAGGCACGAGCAGTAGTCAATTAAGTCAGTGTCATAGGTCAGGCCCTCACTTGTCTGGTGTGATTTGGCACCACCTGCTCTCACCTTGAAACTTCTAGCTTTGGAGAAAGGCTTTTATTACCCATTATCCCTGCTCGCTGACATCCTTTGAGTGAGCATTAGAAGAGATAGATTATGGTATTCACACCGTGGAAGACGATGATACAGCAACGAGAACAACTACAAATGTATACAATATGGATGAATCTCATAAAACCATTTTGAATGAAAGAAATAAGACACATGAGGATATATTGGATTTTCTAATGTAAAAACACAAACAGGTGAAAATAATCTAGTGCATTGGCAGTAGGATATGGTTACTCTTTGGAGGGAAGTGAGCAGAGGGTTTTAATTTTTAGGGAGATGACATGTTTTCTTCATTTCAGTGCTGTTCGCAAGGGTATGTTCAACTCATAATTTATACATTTTTAACATCTACATATGATTTAAGAACTTTTAATAGATACGTGTGCCCTATGGAAAGGCTAAATGAGAGAAGCTTGGTAAAATTATTATAATGTGAAGGAACTAAGACCTCAGGCCCATTGGAATGGACACTGTCCTTTGACAGGAAGAGCAGGGTCAGACCGAAGGTAGAGCAGGGAGAAGGACCCGGTGCCTTCTGTGTGCTGGGCACGGTGCTGGGCCAGTGGTCTCTCCTTTCATTCCTTCAACTTCTCTCTGAAGTTGGCAGTGTGCCCTGTTTACAGATGACAGGGTGAGGATCAGAGAGGCCTACTTAGCTGCCCAAGGTCACAGAGCTACTAAGAGTCACACCTGGATTCAAACACAGGACAGAAATAGCTCCAGAGCCCACGTTCTTGCATGAGACAGACCTATGGGAGTCGTTAACCAATACATCTTGGTTTGTTGCTGCATTGAGGAAGTCTGACCCACACTTGGTGGCATTTGTGTCTTCAAGAAGAACCCATCAGACACAGAGACATGTCCATGAGAAAATGACCCAGTGAAACTGCCTGTGCTTACCTTGTTGGGTGAGTTGTCAGAGTGGCCCTGACCTGGGAAGTGAAAGAAGAGTTATCAATCCATGAAAATGCAAAGCTGACTTATGGCCTTAGGGCCATGGCGTTCCTAAGCTGCTGTGATTTCTACCTGAAGGAGGTGGCAGGTGGTGGGAGGGTGGGGTGCGGAGGTGGCCATGATCACTTAAGGAATCGCTTCCCTCAGAGCCTGTGGTCCACACCCAGGGTGTTAGTACCAGCGGAGTTGGGGGCGGGGCAGGAGTAGAGCCAAGGGGGCCTCAGTCCACTTCTGAAGATTAATGCAGCTCCCAAGGCCTTGATCTTTGCCCAGTTGTGTTCCTCAGCAACAGGCACCAGTGGCAAGGAGGGGCATTGAGACCCAGAGCACCCAGAGCACCACAAGTCAGGGAAAGTCTCGCCAAAGGAGAGTGCCCGCATCCACATCCGTATTAGAGGCAGGAGGGGAAGGGGTAGGGGCAGAATGGCTCCGGAAAACGTGTCCGTGTTACTCAGGCCTGCCTGGTCTGGTAGAGTGAGTCTCTCCCAGGGCCGGGTCTCAAGGGAATCTCTTGGGCTAGAAGGGTGTGAGCATCCATGTCAACCTAAGGCTGGGAAATGGAGAGCCGTCTGAGCTCAGAAGGTGCCGAGTATTTGGAATTCCAGGATTCCCTGCCAGGGCAGGCATGTGGTGGAACACACCAGCTCTCACTGGGTGATGGCTTCACTTACTGTGGTTGGAGGCAGAGGGCTTGTGCTCTGTGAGATCGCGCTGGTCGCTCGCCCTAAATAAATATCAGAGACTGTGACTGCTGTTCCCATGCATAGGATCTTTGCTCCTTGAAGTAGGAAGGCTACAGTGAGCAGAAATTCCTTGGGGCTCCTCCATGGTCCTTTATGCCAGGGCCAGTTCTGCCTGATCCCTAGGGCTCCTCTTCAGTGCACCCACCCCCCTTCCAGTGTGCGCCCCTTTCCTGCTGGCCTGCCGTTCACAGAGGCCCATTCGTTATCAACAGCGTCTGAGCTCACTTCTACCCCACACCTTTCCCTTCTGTGGATGCTGCTGTTATTCTCACTGGTTTCTGCTTTTTCTTAGGTTCTCTTCCTGTCCTGCCCTCTCTTCTCCTCTTCCTGTGGTTGGCAGAGCACAGTGACTCACTTTCTCCTGCTCCTGTTGGCATTTCCTCATTAGTTTTCCTTCTTGGGCCTTGGCCTCCCTGACTGGGGGACCCAGGAACATAATCAGTGCTGCCCCCACTAAACCAGTTGGGGATGGGAATAACTATGTCACAGAGAGAGTAGGGTACAGGAAGCTTGAAGACGAGGCTGCAGGAATCAGAGCCAAGAAGCAGGGGTTGAGGAAGGAGGAGGAGCAGGTCCAGGCCCAGAGACTGAGGGGAAGTCTCCCCTCTCCCAAGCATGGTGGTTAGCCTTGGAGGAAGCAGGACAAGAGGAAAGGCCATCATACCCTCCAGTCTTTCTGATGTACAGAAAGTACACCAGGGCTGCTATCAGAGCTATGCCAGCCAGGACTCCAATCACGATGCCGGCAATAGCCCCATCTGAGAGGCCAGGATGTTGTGATGCTGAAACATCTGTCAAGGAGAGAAAAGAGAAGCATGAATGAAGCTGGTGACATTTTACAGTGGGGCTGCCCTGGGCAATGACTCCCAACATGAAGTAGTCTCGGCTTGTTCCTCCAAGGAATACATTTCTATGTGAAGGTTGCTGGGAGGTAATTACCTGACCATATGCTTGTAATTTTTCTCTCTCACTGTATTTCTAGGTTGGTGGTCAGACTTGCCCCAATTCCATCCTGGCCTTTCTGCACACAGATATTTTTGGAGCTTTGGAAATGTGAGAGGGGCTCATTGCCATTTAGTAAGTTATGTTTTCACCATTTCATGGTTGTGTGTTTTTCTCTGTACCAGGTGGGGCAGCCATGAATATGTGCCACTCAGGTCTCCTGTGGTGAATGCACCACCTCCTTTGCACAGGGACCTGGCTTCCCACAGGCTCCCAGCAGGGATAAAATAAAAACCAATTCTCTGAGAAATGGTTTTCCTCTGATGGGTGACTTGATCTCAAGGACTCCCCATCAACCTTAGAAACAGACTGCAACTGAAAACTGCCTTCTCTCTCTTCCCGTAATCAGATCTGCATCGTGGTCTGAGGAATCTCCAGGCTCCTCCCACTTCCATCCACTTTCCTTTACAGGCATTTTTTCCAATAAATACTTTGTATGTCTAGTCCCATCTTGGCTGCATTTCAGGAGAAGAAAACTAACAAACTATGTTTAATACTTTGCACTGAATGTCTTCTTTTTTTTCTTCTTCTTGCATTTAACCAGTAACTATGTCCTCATCTGAGAATATTTTTTTTCATTGATTTTTAGAAAAAGTAGAAGGGAAGGGAGGGAGTGGGAAGAGAGAGAGATAAAGAAACATCAGTGTGAGAGAGACACATTGATTGATTGCCTCCCAAACATACCCTGACAGGCTAGGGATCAACCTGCAACCCAGGAATGTGCCCTTGGCTGGGAATTGAACCTGAGACCCTTTGATGGGTGGGTTGATGCTCTAACAGCCTGTCTCTATATTTGTGTGTGATGCCCATCTGTACTCCAAATATAATACATTTTGCATCTATTTCTTCTTTATTATTTCTTTATTTACTAGTCAACTCAAACTTGATGATTAATATTAACGTTAGCTACTATATGGGGTACTTACTATGTGCCAGGCTCTGTGTTTAATACTTTACTCATCTCATTTGATTCATACAATAATCTTGTGAGATAGACATTATTTCCATTTTACTGATGAAAAAATTGAAGCTTAGACTGGTGAAAAATTTACCCCAAATCATATGATTAGTAAGAGGTGGATCTGGGCTTTGACTCCAGGATCACCTGACTTCATAGAGGCCTGTGATAACAGTAGTAATAATAGCAGCTAACACTTATGGAACATTTTTCCTGTGTGTGGCATTTGCTAAGGGTTTAAGTGATTATTACATTAAATATTAAAACAATTGCTCTGGCCGGTTTGGCTCAGCGGTTAGAGCGTCGGCCTACAGTGCTGAGAGACCCGGGTTCGGTTCCCGCTAAGGGCGCGTACCTCGGTTGCAGTTTGTCCCTGGCCCTGGTCGGTTGTGCGGGTGGCAGCCACTCGATGTGTCCCTTTCACATCGATGTTTCTCTCTCTCTCTCTGTCCCCCCCCCCCCACTCTACCTGAACAAAAAATGGAAAAATGTCCTCAGGTGAGGATAAAAAAAAACAAAAAACAAAAAACAATAACATTAAGCAGGTACTCTTGTAATTTTGAGTTGTGGAATATGAGGCTCAGTGAAGTTACGAAACTAGTGCAAGAAATTTGTACTTGTAAATACTTACTTTAGAAAAGAAGGAAGATCTCAAATCAACAACCCAACTTTACAACTTAAGGAGCTAGAGAAAGAAGAACAATCTAAACTCAAAGCTAGCTGAGGGAAGGGAATAATAAAGATTAGAGTGGAGATAAATACAATACAGAATGGAAAAACAGTAGAGAAAATCAATGAAACCAAAAGTTTGTTCCTCAAAAATGATTAACAAAATTGACAATCCTTATACTAGATGACTAAGAAAGAAGAGAGAAGATTCAAATTATAAAATCAGAAATGAAAGTGGGGACACTACTATCAATTTTAAACAAATAAGAATTATAATAGTATGTGAATAATTATATGCCAACAAATTGGATAACTTAGAGGAAATGGACAAATTCTTAGAAACACAAAACCTACCAAGATGGATTTACAAAGAAAAAGAAAATATGAATAGACCTGTAAATAGTAAGGAGATTGAATCAGTGTAAGCAGCTGACAAAATCCAACATCATTTTATGATAAAAATGCTCAATCTAGGAATAGAAGGAAACTACCTCAACATAATAAAGGTCATTTATGAAAAACCCATAGGTAACATAACTGTCAATGGTGAACAACTGAAAGTTTTTTTCTAAGGTCAGGCACAAGACAAAGATGCCTCTTTAGCCGTTTCTACTGAAAATGATATCGGAAGTCTTAGCCAATAATTATGCAACAGGGAGAAATAGACTTCTGGTCAAGATGGCAGCATAGGTAACTGGTACTGGCCTCTTCCCACAACCACATAAAAATTACAGCTAACCTGGAGAACAACCATTATTCAGAACTGCCTGAAATCAAGATGAATGGAAGTCCTATAACTATAAATGAAAGAAGTCCCATCCAGTGTGGTAGGAGGGGTAGAGGCACTGATGAGCTGGTCCCACACCCACCTGTGGGTAAAAATCAGGAGGGATACCTCAGCAGTGAAAGTCCTCCCTGAAGAGCAAGGTCCCAGTCCCACACCAGCCTCCCAGATCAGGGCCCAGTGCCAGAAAGAGAAGTCCCCATAACTTCCGGTTGTAAAAACCAGTGGGAATTGAGCCTGAGGGAGGTTGAGGCTTCTAGAGTCCCAGGCAGCTCCTGTTAAAGGACCCGCACATGGAATTACTCAGACTCATTCCCTCTGGGTTCCAGCTCAGGTGAGGCAGCTTGAAAGGTACTAGAGACATATGGGGAAGAACTGAGTGGTTTGGCATTGGGGCGAGAGCTGGAAAGGCAGCTTTCTCCTAGACAGATGTGCTGGTGAATGCCATTGTTCTTTTGGTGAACCCTTCCCCACTGGGCTGGCAGAAGGGCACCATATCTGGGACTCCAGCAACCTGGCTCACACTGTTGGCCCACCCTGGTGATTCCCTGAGGCCCTGCCCCACCCAACTTTCGGGCCCACCCAAGCTGTTTCCAGTGTCTTTACCATAGGATTGGCCTGTCTTGGCTCCTGCTTCAGATTTTCCTAAATTCTCTCAAACAAGCAGCATCTGGCCTCAATGAGCCCCATACCTCTTGCTTAGTGGCCCCAGGGCTGAGACTAGAAGCAGCCAGCCTTGGTTCACAGCTTGGCTCTACCTGGGCACCTCTAAGCCCAGCACAAGCAGCAGCCATCTGCAGATCACTTTGTAGCTTATGCCAGGTGGTCCTGGGTAGAACACAGGCAGTGACAGACCTTGCCTCAGAGCCAGCACACCCAGTAGACAGCTTCAGGCCACGTCAAAACACCATCACCCAACCACCTCCACAAGCGACACACTCAAGGAGTGGACTCAATAGGTACCAGAATCCTGCTGAGGTAAGTCTTGCTCTTTGTGGTGAGCCCCTGCACAGCTGATTCTCCAGGGTAGTCAGAGGTCAGTGGTCAGTGGGAACAGGCAGTACTTGCAGCTGATCAGCTTGAGTAAATCCTTTCCATCAATGTGCCAACAGCAATCATGACTCATTGACAACAGAAGGGTATACAGTCCACACAAGAGGTGCTCCTTGAGGGCCCAGCAGGGGTGACCAGGAAGGCTGTACCACTGGGCCCTATAGGCCACCTATAACAATAGGCCACCCTATGATGCCTAGGAGACATAGCAACTCTACCTAATACACTTGTTTCAGACATGGAGGCAGCCAAAATGAGGAGACAAAGAAACATGTCCCAAATGAAAGAACAGAACAAAACTCTAGGAAAAGAACTAAGCAAAATGGAGATAAGCAATCTAAGAGATGCAGAGTTTAAAACACTGGTTATAAGGCTGCTCAAGAAACTTAGTGAGGATCTCAAGAGCATAGAAAAGGACGAATCAGAAATGAAAGATGCACTAATTGAGATAAAGAGTAATTTATAAGAATTAATAATACAGTAGGTAAAGCCAAGAAACAAACCATCAATTTAGAATATAAGGAAGCAAAAACACTCTCAGAACAAAAATCCAAAAAAATGAGGATAGTATAAGGAGCCTCTGGGAAAACTTTAAGCATACCAACATTTGCATCAATTGGGTGCTAGAAGGAGAAGAGAAAGAGCAAGAAATTGAAAACCTATTTGAAAAAATAATGACAGAAACCTCCCTAACTTGGTGAAGGAGACAGACATACAAGTCCAGGAAGCACAGAAAGTCCCAAACAAGATGAACCCAAAGAGGCCCACACCAAGACACATCATAATCAAAATACAAAAGGTTAAAGACAAAGAGAGAATCTTAAAAGCAGCAAGAGAAAAGCAGTTAGTTGCCTACAAGTGAGCTCCCATAAGACTGTCAGACGATTTCTTGAAATAAACTTTGCAGGCAAGAACTATTCAAAGTATTGAAAGGCAAGGACCTAAAACCAAGATTACTCTATCATGCAAAGTTATCATTTAGAATCGATGGCCATATCAAGAGTTTCCCAGACAAGAAAAACCTAAAGGAGTTCATTACTACCAAACCAGTATTATGTAAAATGTTGAAGGGTTTTCTTGAAGATAAAAAATATGAGCAATAAAATATATATCTATCAACAACTGAATCTACAAACAAAATGAATAAGCAGCCCTGGCTGGCATGGCTCAGCAGTAAAAGCATCGCCCGTGGACCACAGAGTCCTGGGTTCGATTCTGGCCAAGGGCATGTACCTTGGTTGAGGGTCATCCTCGGCCCTGGTTGGGGTTGTGTGGGTGGCAACCAATCGATGTGTCTCTCTCGCATCGATGTTTCTCTCTCTCTCTCTCTTCTTCCCTCTCTTCCTCCAGCTCTATCTGAAGGTTAATGTAAAAATATCCTCGGGTGAGGATTAAAAATAAATAAAATAAAATAAACTTACATAAAAAAGAGTAAGCAGAACACAAATACACTCATAGATACAGAGAATTTTTGTTGGTTGCCAGGTGGGAGGGTGTGAGGGGATGGGCAAAAAAGGTGAAGGGATTAAGAAGCACAAATTCTTTGTTAGACTGATGAACCTCAAAGGGAAGGGGGGATGGGGCAGGAAGAGATAAACCAAAGAACTTATATGCATATATGTATAATCAATGGACATAGATAATAGTGTAGGAAAGGCAGGAGGAAGGCAAGAGCAGGGAGGAAGGGCATCAATGGGGGAAAACGGGGGACATCTGTAATACTTTCAACAGTAAAGATATGTTATAAAAAAAGAGAGAGAAGTAAAGTATCCAAATTGAAAAGGAAGATGTAAAATTATCTCTGTTTGCATTTGATACGATCTTATATGTAGAAAATGCAAAGATTCCACAAAAAACTGTTAGAACTAATAAACAAATTCAGCAAAGCTGCAGGATACTAAATCAACATGTAAAAATCAGTTGTGTTTCTATATATGAACAATGAACAATTCAGAAAGGAAATTAAGAAAATTCCATTTACAATAGCATCAAAAAGAATAAAATACTTAGGAATTAACTGAACAACTACAAAAAAATTGCTGAAATAAAATTAAAGACATAAATGGGAAGACATTCTGTGTTCATGGATTGGAAGACTTAATATTAATAAGAAGACAATAACTCTTAGCCCTGGCAGGTTTGGCTCAGTAGTTAGAGCATTGGCTTGCAGACCAAACAGTCTCGGGTTTGATTCCAGTCAAGGGCACGTACCTCAGTTGCGGTTTGGTCCCCAGCCCTGGTCGGGGTCAAGCGGGAGGCAATCAGTCAATGTTTCTCTCTCTCCCTCCCTCCCTCCCACTCTATCTGAAGATAAATGGGAAAAATATATAATTGGATGAGGATTAAAAACAAAAAGGCAAATCTTATGTGTATTTTACCACATTAAAAATGGTAACAGAAAAAAAAAAGAATCTTGTTCAATGTCACACAGTAAATGCCAGGCCCAGGATAAGAAACTAAGTATATCTGGTTCAGAGACTGAGCTCTTAGCCACTTTGCCATTCTGTTTACTGTAATGTCTCCTGACTGACATTCTGCCCCCTGTGATTTCTGTCCATTTCTCGCACCATTAGAAGAGCAATCCTCGCCCTGGCCGGTTTGGCTCAGCGGTTAGAGTGTCTGCCTGCGGTCCAGAGAGACGTGGGTTCGGTTCCCGCTAAGGGCACGTACCTCGGTTGCAGTTTGTCCCCGGCCCTGGTTGGTCATGCGGGTGGCAGCCACTCGATGTGTCCCTTTCACATCGATGTTTCTCTCTCTCTCTCTCTCCCTCCCACTCTATCTGAACAAAAAATGGAAAAATGTCCTTGGGTGAGGATAAAAAAAAAGAAGAGCAATCCTTCCAGGGAGATGTCGGATGGGGTAATGGGTCACTTACATTGTACATCCAGCCAGAGGGGGTCACTTTTGCAGGAACTGACAGGGTTGGAGACCTCACACTGATAACTGCCACCATCCTCCCTCCTGACGGGGTCTATGGTGAGGATGCTATTGCCCTGGGACAGCTTCATCCTGTCCGTGAGCCACAGACTCTGCTTGTTAAAGAGCCACCGGATAGAGATCCCAGTGTCATTTGTGAGGCAGGTCAAGACCACGGTGTCCTTGTGCTCTGTGACTGTGCTGTTCCTGGCTCGGATGGAGGGCTTCCCCACGGGCTCTGTGGAGAAGCAGAGGAGGTGACTGAGAGTGGGCTCCTCCTCAGAGATCTCAGCCACCACGGTCCACAGTGAGCTCTGTAAAGGTCACCAGAGGATGGTCCTGACCCCTGCAGGGCAAGTATCTTTGTTCAGGTGACTGTGTAAGGAGGGGGCTGCACCTTCTCTGTGGTCCCAGATCCCCCGAGGATGATCCCTGACTGTGTCCCTGGACATCTAGTATCAGCACCAGGAACCTCTTCTAAGCCCGTGTCCAGCAGCTTCATCATCAGGTGGAATTTTTCACCCACTGACTTCAGTGTGACTCTCTCCTATAGATTTCGGTGACTTCCTAAAAGACCAGGCCTCCCCTCTAGGGACTTTACATAGAGCTGGGAAGGCATTTCCTTTTGTTAAATAATTTATAAGAGAATGAGAATAGTCCAAGCAGTCTTCATGACCTTAGGACCTGAGAAATTCTTTTCTTTTTTAATCCTCACCCAAGGACATGCTTAGAGAGAGGAAGGGAGAGAGAGAGAGAGAGAGAGAGAAACATCAATGTGAGAAAGAAACATCGATTGGTTGCCTTCTGTACACGCCCCTACCAGACTTGAACTTGCCACCCATGTACGAGCCCTGACCAGGAATCGAACCAGCAATATTTAGGTGCACAGGATGACACTCAACCAACTGAGCCACTCTGGCTGGGATGAAGAAATTCTAATCTAAAGGGTTTCTTGCCCTGGCCAGTTTGGCTCAGCGGTTAGAGCATCGGCCTGTGGACGAGAGAATCCCGGGTTCAGTTTCTGCAAAAGACATGTACCAAAAATAAATAAATAAATAAATACAGGGTTTCTCTATCTGAACAGCACTTTCACTTCCCGGCCTGCGGGTTGAACATCACAGAGAAGGGAATCTCTAAGAGAAGGACTCACAGTTTTAACACAAGGCTGGTACTCGGCCTCCTCTGTAATCTACAACCTTTGTGGCACTGCAGCTTCTGTCCCATGAAGGGACTTCACGGACGAACCTACCTATTTGTCAAGTGTGCACCACCGTTCACGGCTCTCCTTTGGAATATCATACACGCTGGTGTCGCACAGCGTTGTACAGCTGGTGACTTCTGAGCCAAGACACACACGGCTCAGAGGGGTCTGCCCTACGGTTCGCTCTCTTCCCACTTCCACGCAGCCTGGTCTGAGGGAGGCTCTGGTGTCAGTGAGTGACACAATTTGACCAGATTGGGGACAGGCCACCCATGCAACTTCTCCACAGAGCCCTGTCCCACCAAGATGTCACAGAGCAGAGTCAGTCACCAGGTGAGCCTGGAGCAGAGCAGAGAGCAGGGGTCTGTGCTGCTCACCCCTCGGAGGTGGTTTCATCCTTTTGTTTGGGGAAAAAGAGGTGAGTTTGATTCAAAGCCTTGTATGTTTCTTGTAGCACGTGGAGTAGGTAACAGAGAAGAAATTGGTGACAGAAGGAATGTGTTGGTGACAGAAGGAATGTGTTGGTGACAGAAGAAGTAACCTGACCTTGAGCACCCTTGTTTTTCCCTCTCTGTGAAGCCCCCTTCACTACTGGGGGCTTTCTGGGGCTGAGAGAACCCCCTCCCCACTTTCCAAGGCTGGACCCCAGCTCTGCCATGAGAAATCAGGAGAGCAAGGGGAGGGAGTCTACAGAAGGGCAGGGGAGGGTTCAGGGGAAGCGTTGGTGATTTGCTTGTGTCCATGGCCACAGGACGGAAGATAACATCTTCTAGGCTCTTTGCTGAAAACCAGACAGATCTGTACCCCAGAGCTTGGTGCCGATGGTCCAGGAGGCACTTACCAGAGACTGTGATATTCTTGACCGCGGTCCTATTGAGGCCAGTGTGAGGGTTATGGGCGAGGCAGGTATAGGATCCACTATCATTCGCAGTGATGTTGGGGATAAAGAGCTCCTGTGTGGGTTGCGGGGAGCTCCCATTGATAGACCAGGAATACTGTGCGGGCGGGTTAGAGGCTGCATGGCAGGAGAGTTTGAGGTTTGCCCCTGGAGGGTAGTGGGAGTCTGGGGGGGAAATGACGGGTACATCGGGGCCATCTGGAGGAAAAGGAACAAAGCCACACATGATGTAACCAGAGGGAAGGGGAAGCTCCTGGTCTGTGTAAGGGCCACACTGTCCCTCTGCGCTAGGTCCCGGCCTTGTTTAAAATGTCCCAACCATAACCCCTGTGTTCACTGAGCCTGAGTCCGAGACATTAACCTGTTTGTCCCAACCCTGAGGCCTGCCTGGATTTGCCTGGGACAGAAGTCATGGCCACCCTGGGTGTTGGGAGTGAGGGTCTGTGTGCTTGGACCGAGAGGGACGGATGTAGCCTGGCCTCTGGAAGTGTGGATTTGGGCGGGCAGCCTGTCCCAGGCAGGGACTGAAGTTACTCACAGAGAACATTCAGGGTGAATGGGTCACTGCGGCCGGCACTCACTGGGTTCCGGGTTTTACACACATAGGGTCCCATGTCATTCCTTGTGACATGGAGTAAAGTGAGAGTCCTGTTGTCGCTGGACAGCTGCAGCCTGGTGCTGTCTGGGAGACTCTGATTGTTGATCAACCACAGGTAGGTGGTGTCCTGAGTCCAAGGTTCACAGGTTAACACGACAGGGTCCTTGTTCTCCTCGGGGTTGGAGTTGTTGGTTGTGATGTTGGGTGTGAGTAACTTCTCTGTGCAGAGAACAGAGAGAACATTACCCTGTGGTACCTTTGATTCCTCCAAAGGCTTCTTCAGTCAGACTTGGTGCCTCTCACTTCTCAGTCAACCTGAGTTCTTAAAGAAATAAGGCCGGTCCCTGTTTTACAAGACAAACAAATGCATGGGGATCTGAGCGCTCAGGGAACCTAAGGCCTCCGGCTCTACGTCTGCGAGAAAGCACAGACTCTCAGGTGTCAGGTAAGTATCAGAGCCCGATCCTGGAAAGACAGGACTGGGAGTCAGAGCTCCCCGGCACCTGTCCTGGTTCCTCCCTGACCAGTGGGCTGCCTGGCCGACCCCGGGGTCCCGCCTGAACATGAGGGAGCTGAGTCCCTGCGAGCTACACACACCCACATTGCTGGGTCGAGATTTGTTTCCACTGAAGCCTCACAGGCAGGCTTATCCTAGAGGTGAGTAACGACGGGCCGTCCCACAGTCCTTCACCCCCAGGGGACTGGGCAGTGTGGCCTGGGCCTGGGTGTTTGAGAGAAACAACACGGGAGACCAGAAGCAAGTCTGGTGGTCAGTTCAGTACCCAGGCTGCAGGGCCACGAGCTGGGGCCGCCTGCCCAGGAGTTCACTGGTGACTGACATGAGACAGTGGCCCCAGAAAGGGTAGTGCGGAGTCCAGGAATGAGTAAGAAAAGAGTGAGGGATGGCAGGAGCTGGCTGGTGTTGGCAGCAGAACCATGCTCTCTGCCCTTGGCCCTTGGTCTTTTTTTTTTTATCCTCACCCAAGGACATTTTTCCATTTTTTGTTCAGATAGAGTGGGAGGAAGAGAGAGAGAGAGAGAGAGAGAGAGAGAGAGAGAGAGAGAGAGAGAGACATCGACGTGAAAGGGACACATCGAGTGGCTGCCACCCGCACGACCAACAAGGGCCTGGGACAAACTGTAACCGAGGTATGTGCCCCTAGTGGGAACCGAACCCGGGTCTCTCTAGACCGCAGACTGACGCTCTAACTCACCAGCCCACCTTGGGAAGGTCTCAGGAGCCACTGGGAGGAACAGGAGCCTCACACCAGGACGGGATGTGAGCCATGGGTCTGGGGTGAAGTGCGCCGTGAGCTTTTGGGATTGAGACCTGTCCTTCTGCCTTTGACTCCCTGACAGAGTCACATAGAGAGTAGACCCCTGGTTTACATGTCCCTGTCACATGGCCTGTTCCTCTTGGCCTCATGGAGGGAAGGAGCCCTGGATGGGGACCTTGCAGAAGCTCTTTCTCCTGGTGACCTGGGAGACTGGGTCATGATGGAGCCCAGGGCTGCTGCTCCGACTGATTTGTGTCCTTTCCTATTGCCCGGGAGTGTGGGTCTGGACACAGGTGTTAGCAGGGCAATCTGGGGAGACTGCAGGGTGGAGGAAGCAGAGCAGAGCTGGCAGTGTGGCTGGAGGCAGATGAGGGACATGGAACTGTCCCTCAGAGGGCAGAACTGTCCTTGGTGAGCAGTGGAAGTTACAGGTGATTCAAGGACCCCGGGTGTCCAGAACCCATGGCTGCCCCACGGCAGGACCACTGCAGCCCGGAAAACCCTCCCACAGCGGAACAGCCCCACAGTCACCATGGGACTTGGCTCCTGGAGGGACAGGGACCAGGTGTGGCCTAAATCTCCTAGGACTCTGCATCCAGGTGCCTGTCTCTGTAGTGATTATGAATCAATCAATCATTCATTCATTCATTCATTCATTCCCCATAATTTTTTCCCTTCATCAAAAGCAACTGGGCATATGTTCCATGCTGGTCCCCGAGCGGCTGCAGGTGTAGAGTGGGCAGTGAGCAGGCCAAGTCCTTCCCTTCATACCCAGTGGGAGTGGCGCCAACACCTCAGGAAACAAACCAGTGATTTCAGGTCCAGGGCAGGGAGCTGGGGCTCGGCCACCTGAGGGGAGGCCTGGGCGCTCCAGCACTGACTCCCTGTGACTGCAGGCAATTCGGTTCCAGGGTAAAAACTAATTCTCCATTTCCTTTCACTCTCAGCCCAGAATCTCTCCCTCTGGGCTGATGATACCTAAGAAGAAAGGATCTGAACCAATAGCTGGTTTCAGGGTCCACATGTGCATAATAAGGCCCTTGGAGTGGAGGAGAGGATGGGCTGTGACTATGGAAAGAGTTTGGCTTGACTCAGATTGGCCAGTCACGGTCTGTGTGACTGAGTGAGTGATGTATCCTCCTGACGCTCAGTTTCCCCGGAATGAAACAGGTTCCATGGTAAATAGTCTCAGGCTTGTCATGCTGCCTGTGAATGAACCTTAAATCTTTTGCAATTTCCTGACCTAAAGCTTGGAGTACAGGAGCTGCTCAAGTTCACAGCATCTGTTATTATTTATGTCCACGAGAAAGGACATCCTGGGCTGATCCCAGGTGGACAAGAAGCTGCCAGGAGCATCTTTCCTCCTTTGTTCCTCCCTAGGGACACTGAGCTTCCTCTGGAGTCTCCTGTGTCCTTCAGGGCAGTTAGCTAATGGCCTGAGAACCTTGTCCACATGTGCTCTCCACACAGAGTCTCAGGTGAAGGAGCAGGCTCCACCCCTGCCCAGATGTGGCTCTTGAGGTTGACTTCTGGCTGGTGACCAGCTCGGGAGTCTTGTGACTTGGGCACCTGGGAAATCGTTGCTCCCAGGGAGCCCTGCCCACAGACCAAACCCAACCTGACGCAGGCTCCTCAGGCTCCCTGGAGTCAGGAGCCCTGGGACAGAGGTCTGGGGAAGGGCTGCCAAGGCTGAGCTTCTCTGTGAGGATCCCAGTTGATCATCAGACCTGGCCCTGACCAAGCCCTGCAGGGTCTTTCTTAGGGTCATGGTCATGGGGAGAGGCCCAGGGGGCTGGACTGGTCTCCCTCTGCTGAGTTACTCCCATCAGACTGGTCCTTTTCTCTGCGGTGAATGTCTGCAGGGAAGGAATCTCTGATCTTAGGAAGTTTGTCTCCACTGTGCGTGTCCTGCACTAAATGCCCAAACCCAATCTGGGAGTGAGGAGATGGAGACGGAATCCAGGGCCATCAGTCCTACGTGTGAAGTGGAATTCACCCCACCCCACACCAGAGGTCAGAGAGCAATCACTCACGGTATACTCGGAGCTGTCCAGTTCCTCTTTCACTCCGCAAATTTCTTTTTATGACTTGTAGTGTGTAGTATCCCGTGTCCTCCTGGGTGACCTTCTGGAACAGCAGGGATCCATTGGGGTATATTGTCTCTCGACCGCTGCCTGCAGGTCCAGTGATAGTCGATTCATTGCCTATTACATATGATGCAATGGAACGGTTTTCATTTTCTGTACTTTCCCCTTTGAACCAGTTATAGCCTACAAGATCCCCAGGCAGATTGTGGGCATGGAAAAGCACGTCCTCTCCTACAGTAGCATTGATCGACACAACAGTGAGTTGTTGAGTGATGGGCGGGCTCCAGAAAATTAAGAGTGAGCCTAGAAGGAAATAGAGAAATTGGTTAATATTTGGATCTATGTATTGGGATGGACATATGAGGTACCTTGTCCTGAGCAGATCTCTTCATCTCTCAGCCCTGGTGTGAAAGTGTGTGTGTGTGTGTGTGTGTGTGTGTGTGTTTGTGAGAGAGAGAGAGAGAGAGAGAGAGTCTCCCATGGTTAAGGTCAGCAGCATGGCCACCATGACTTCAGCACCTCTGAACCTATTATTTCCTCTGTTTCAAATACTCTTTCCCAGGTGTCTGCCAGGCTCACCCCTCACAGCCCTCAGACCCCTGCTGACACTCAGGGGAGCCCTCGGAGACACCTTCCCTGACCACCTCCTCTAAAGACCCTCTGTCTCCACTTTCTCCCCTGTCCCTGCTCTGTCCCCTTCATGGCACTGTGTGTACCTGCCACCCCATCTAGATCCCTCCTTGTCTGTCTCCTCCCCACAGAACGTGAGCTCCATGTGGGCAGGGCCTAGTCAGATCCTGTCCCCCAGGGCCTGCAACAGCGGCAAACCCCTGTGGGTGAATGAATGATGTTCCCAGTCCTGCACCTCCTGGGAGTATGTCCCATGTCTGAGGCTGGTGGGAAGGACAATGTTTAGTTCCCCTGGTTAAGTTTTTCTTGTATCACCCGGACATAAATTATTATTATTTTCAATTTTCAGAAATTATTTCAGTGATGAATAACTTGTAAAACTAAACCATAATTGAGGTTTTCCTGCCCTTCAGCACTTCCAGATCATGAGATTTTCCTGTTGCTGCACCTCCTCCTCATCCTGTACTCTCCCCTGCCCCCTCCCCTCAGGCCCAAACAGAAGCCCTCTGTCCCATCTCAGAGCACTGTCCTTCCCAGGAGACCCCAGCCAGTCTTTCTCCCCTCCTGTCCTCCCCCAGGGACTGTCCCCTCCTTACCGGCCAACAGGAGCTCTTGCCAGGGGACAAGTCGTCTGTGAGCAGGGACTGAGGGTGACTCCATGGTGCTAATGCCTGCTCTGTCCCTCCCTCTGTGAGAAGAGCCTGGATTCCAGAAATGCTCACAAGCCCTGCTCTTCTGACGTGTGGGATGTGCTGTCCCTCCTCCCAGTGCACTGAGCCTCCTGTGGCAAGATCACTTCCCTGGTCATGTGGGCTGGGGGCGGGGTCTGTGCCCAGGACACTCCCCTTCTCTCCCCTCATGCCGGCCTCCCTTGTTCCTCCTTGTTTACTTGCCTCCCCTGTTCCCTCCTCCTTGTTTACTTCCTGTGTAGATTTCAGACCCTGGAGACTGGTGAGGCCTGTGTCTTTCTCTGCAGCACTCCACCCTCGTGTGCACACAACCTGTTTGGACTAGCACAGCCTGGGGCATTCCCCAGAGCTCAAATTGGGTGCACAGTAGCGTCCCCCTCAGGCCTCTCTTATCCCTTCTGGCTTTTGCTTTCAGAGTAGGAGCCCTGGGGTGATATCAGGGACTCTTGTCACAGTGATGGCATCAGATAATCTGTGGAACTTGGTAAAGATTGTGAATGCCATCCGGCCAGTGCAGCTCAGTGGTTGAGCATGGACCCATGCACCAAGAGGTTGGTGGTTCAATTCCCAGCCAAGACTCGTGCCCAGGTTGTAGGCCAGATCCCCAATGGGGAGCATGCAGGAAAGGGCCAATCAATGTTCTCTCTCATCAATGTTTCTATCTCTCTCTAAAAAATCAATAAAGGAAAAAAAAACACACAAACCATTGTGAATGCCCACACGACACTTTAGAAATGAGGCTTCAGCTGCTAACCAATTAATGTGGATGCTCAGCCAGAATGACACTCTGTGATGTGGGGGTGGGGCAGCCCCTCCCCCTCTCCTGTGCACAGGAAGGGTCTGCAGTTCCTGTTAAAATGCAGATTCTGAGTCCGTGGAGCACCAGAGACTCTGCCTCTGACAAGCTCTCAGGGGAGGTTGATCTTGCTGGCATGTGGAGCACACTTTCTTTTTTGTTTTTTCATTTACCAAATATTTTTCGAGTTCATTCTGCTCTCCCAAGCCTTTTTTTAGAAGCTAGACATACATCAGTGAACAAAACACAGAAGTGAAAAGGCAATGCTTATTAATAAATCCACCATTGTTCCATTTGACATTTTTTGTAAACATCTAAATCTGTTCATTAACAGTTACAAGAGCATCGGCGCACAGTTGCAACAGCGAGGCCGGTGGGGACCTTACCCCTGAGAGGAGGGCCGCTCACCCCAGCATTGGCCTCTGCTGGGCCTCGGTCTTGGTCTGTCAGCACCCCACAGAGAGCCCCTGGGCCCCCCAACCTGGGGATTACTTCTGTTTGTGACACAGAAACCCAGCTGGGCACCGGGTCTTCCCCGTGTTCTCAAATGTTCTGGAAGGTTGATTTCCTCCCAGCAGGAAGGTCACAGAGGTGACTCTGAGGGTAAGAAGGGGTCAAGCTGGGTGATGACTGAAAAGGGACCCCCCCTTCAATCTCCAGGTGTCACCAGCCTGGCCTCTGCTTCCAGGTCAGAGACTCAGGATCTGGGGTCTCAGAAAGACCTGCAGTTACCGGTTGTGAAGGGAGAGGTGTCCTCAGTATCCTGGGAAGAGAGGACTGTGGTGGAAGGTCAGGAGGCTGTGGTCTCTCTGGTCCTTGGGGAGAGTTTCAGGGAGACCCTCTCTCTCCATGTCTATTGGCTGAGCCCATGGGCTCCCTGACCATTGGGGCACCCTCTGTCCTCTGCCTGGGGGACTTTCCAGTGGCCACTCCACCTTGCCCATGGATGGTGCCAGGCGGGGAGGCGGGGGTTGCACAGGGACCCCTGGCAGAGCAGGTATGTGGGAGGGGTCCAGAAGGGTTTGTGGTATGGAAATCAGGCTCTTTCCATCTCCTTAGCCAAAACCAGGTTCAAGTGTTAATTTCCTGAGCGTTGTCCGTGTGTTTCAATGTCGCCACCTGGAGGGCATGAGGAGACCTGCGACCAATGTCTGGGGCAGCCCAGTGATGCTGACCAGGCTCCAGAGGGTGAAAGCTGATGTCAGAGTCCTGGGCAGAGGTGGGCTCTGTCAGCCCGGCTGAGTGGCCACTCACCCTGGGTCCTGGTCACTGTGGGTCCCAGGCTGCTCGAAGCCATCCCAGTGCAGGGTGAGCCCAGTGACAGGACAGATATTGTCCAGAGGACTCCTGATCCAGTATCAGGAGTATTGTGTTGTCTTAGGGGGAACTCTTTGTCCCCGAGGTTTCAAAGGAAGGGCCTGATGAGGGCTCTTGAGTGTTTTAAGAGAGGGCCCCAGCCTGGGGGGCTGGTCCATAGATTTCCCTTTGTGTCCCCCATCCCACACTAGGGTGTTGCATCCAAGTTATTAGTGTCCCTTGTCTGTCATCTGCTCTAGGACTCCCCACAGGGCCCAGGAGCTGGAGACTTAGCCAGGGGATAGGGAGCCCCCGTGGGACCACCAGTCCTTCTGAGATGGAAATGACCATAGGTCCTGGGTTCTCCTGTCCCATCCTGCATGGGAAGTTCCCCTTGTTCCCCAGGATACCATGAGCTAACTGGTGGGATGTATTCTGGGGACCTCAGGTGGGTGTCCTCATGGACAAGTGACCCTGTGGATGAGGAGTCACACCCCCAGTTCCTTTGTAGTCAGGATGGACTTCTTCCTTCCCTGGTGGTGACCTGGGGTGGAGAATCCAGAGTTTGTACCATGCCAGGTCTCTGTGAGGAGAGGAAGGACTCAGGTGCTTGCTCAGTCTCCCCAGTAGGAGAAGTCACTCACAGGGTATAGATGGGGACGGATCTGGTTTTCTGGGAATCGAGAGGGTTCCAACCCCTCACTATTAGAAGCCCCTGTCCTTGTGATGTCTCTACAAGGGGAAAAGACCCTACCCTGGGACATCCCTGGGCACTTGGTGGCCTCTTCCCATGTGGATGCCAATGCCTTCGTGTCTACAAGGAGCATGTTCTGACTGCAAGTATCACACAGGGTGACAGGCTTCCATTGTGTGGTTTTCTCATCGATTTATGAGGGTTTACTGAACACCTGTGATGTGTCAGGCCCTGGGCTGGGCCCTGGGAACTCCACAGAGAACAGGATATACGTGGGCCCTGCACTCATGGAGTTTACCTTATAACAGAGAGACAGCCACTCAACAAAATCATGGAACTAAGCAGTTAATTATTGAGAGAAGGGCACTGAAGGGCAAATGTCTGATGTGCCTGGAGCATGTGCTTGGGTCTCAGCCGGACTGGGGATCACAGAGAGCACTTCTGAGAAAATGACCTTTTGACTGAGACCTGAAGTGTGAGTGGCCATTTGCCCCCTGAGGGACAGAGGGTGCGGGGAGGAGCTGCCTGCAGGGGTCTGGCCTTTGCTTGGCAGGCGCCTGGCTGGGTGGAGGAGCTGGCAAAGTCCTGTGTGTGCATTGTGGAGCGTGAGGAGGACTGTGGACTGATTGATGCTGGTGAGGTTGGACCCTGCTGGGCTGTGGGTGCTGCTGGGCTGGGGTCAGCCTCACCTACAGGAGGCTCCAGGCTGCGGAGTAGTGCTGCCTCCCTCTAATGGAGAAGCAGAAAAATGTGCAAGAAAAAGTCTTTCTTTGAACACTTACAACCATTTTCCTGTGCCAGGTCCTCAGAGAAGCACAACCAGTCTCATCCTGCCTGTCTCTCAGGGACTCAGGGATCCAGAGGACACACGACACGAGCATAGGTAGGTGCTCCTGGACATGTCACAGTACAAAGGAGGAGAGTCGGAGGGGGAGTTCAGAGGGGGCCCGTTGTGTCCACCTGTGGAGGTCGGGATGACCTTGTGGTAAAATGGCCAGTGAGGTTGGGCAGAGGGCATCCCAGGTGGGGACCACACGGGCTGATACAGGGACACAAGGGCAAGTCTTGATGGACCAAGAGCATGCGGTGCAGTGTACGTGGACTTGGATGACAAGGAGCAGGTGAGAGGAGGTCAGGGGGAAGGTGAGATGAAACAGGTGGTGGCCTTTCTGAGGAGTTGATGTGTTTTGTGGGTGTCTCCCCTCCAGAGCCTGAGCTGAAGAGGGCAGGAGGGCTCGGGACACTGGGGGAGGAGCTGAGAAGTTACCCCCACATGTGTCCACCGCCATGGTCGCTCCTTCCTTGCTCATATTTGTGTGGACAGCAGCTGGCCCCATTTTCTGTTTTCCTGGGTCCCTACCTGGATTTGCAGAGGGAGACAGGCTGGGAGCTGTCCATGGTCCCTTGTTTTCAGGGGCGGTGTGAGGACTGCCCAGCGCTCTCCTGGCTGGACAGGGGCTCTTGTGAATCTCATCCTTTTCTGATAATACTGTCCCCACCACAACTCCTCTTTCCCAGGAAATAGGGCTGGGGACTGGGGTAATTTAGACATGCTATTTTCCTTGTGTGCCCCAGGAAAAAATGGACCTAGAGTTTCAGGTGAATTTCTGCTAAGAAAAATTCCCATGAGCAGAAAAAGAGCAAACGAGGGAAGGGTCCTCTTTATTCAGATCCATTACTGGTGATCGCAGGTGGGTCACAGACCTGCTCACCTTCTCTGAAAGCCCCCTCACTAAGGAGAAGCTGAGAAGCCTGGAAATAAATGTTAGAGATTTAGATGTTTTTGTCAACTAGGGGTGGCTCTGTCCCCCTTCCCCACTCCTGAACTGCCCCCACCACTCAGAGAGCATTTGAAAGTGGGGTGTGTGCATGTTTGGGGAGTATTTTGACCCCATCAGTAACTCGATAGGCCTCCCAGAACTCAGTGTGGAATGAGAGATCATGAATGAGGTAAAAGCTCAGGACTGTCCCTCATAACAAGACGTTTTTTACCCAGAATGCCAGTGTCAGCTCCTCAGAAGAAACAAATCAATTATTTTTCATTGTAGGCCATATCCTCAAGTGACATAGGGTATATTTGCTTACTTGTTTAGCTTCTGTCTCCACACCTTTTAGAAAGTGAGCTCCATGAGAGAAACTTCATTTTCTGACTCTACAACCAGCGGAAACCACAAGATACATGGTTGAATAGTATTTATTTATTTATTTATTTATTTTTTAATCCTCACTCAAGGATATTTTTCCATTTATCTTCAGATAGAATGGAAGAGAGAGGGAGAGAG